TTCTATCAGGATGATCCCCGTGGGTCTCATTTGTGGATAAGCTGTAGAGGTGGATATAGTGTCTGGGTTTTTTGTTTTTTGTTTTGTTTTGTTTTGTTTTTTAATGAACATATTCCCAGTAAGTAGAACATTGCCAAAGCCATGCAAAAATTTTCATATAATACAGTGTTTTCCTTCTTACTTTTCTTGTTGTCACATTATAAAGGTGCTAAAAATCTCATTCATGCTTTGAAGTTAGTAAGTTTATATCTTTGTGTCTAGGGATATGCACTAAGTTTACATGGCTATCATTCTAAACACTAGCCTCATGCTGGTGCTGAAGAGATGACTTTTTCAAGCAGTAGGGCACCCCTGTGTGTCCTCAAATCCTATATAAATGAGTAAAGGACCATTATGCATCCACATTTCTGTCATTGTCCCTTAATATTATCATCTCCCTGTCCCCCTACTCTTCCCCTAAATCCAACCTTTACTTCGTTTTTGAGTTGCAATTCCGATGAAGAACCAGCCCAGCTTCTCCTGGAGGTGACATTTCTGACTTGAAACCCTTTATAGAAACAAACCAGAATCCAGTCTTTGAATGTGAGGAGAGGAGAAAGTGCAGGGCTATAAGCAGGATACAGGGTTCAGAGACACGGACATCAACAAATTACACACAAAATCAGAGTACTGTGGAAGTGACGACTGTTCTGGTCCTCGGAGTCCCTTGTGATCGCAACAGAAATGAGTTTCTGCCAGATAATTACAACTTCACCACCTAGGGAAGGAGAGGGATGAAGAGGTCCAGAAAATCTCCTCTTTCTGGTAAGACTGAGCACTTGAGGGGTCTGAGGAGGAGAGTCTATGTCAAGACTGACTAGGACATGACACGTGAGACATTACTCTGGATGTGGAGAAGCAGAGCTGCCTAGGGTGAGGCCCAAGTTATGTTATATCTTGGAGAGGCGAGAGATGCTGTTTATATAAACAATTTGATTTTAAAATGTATTATAAAATTTACAGACCCAAGTGAAATATGATGATTTATCAATAAGGCTTAAAATAAAAGATAGAGAAAAGATACCTATGTATTTGTCTGTTGTCCAATTACTACACATGCAGATCCTTCATGGTATCCAGACACCATCCCTTCCTCTTACTGTAGATTTAGAAACCCTTTCTTCATATTCTTTACTGTCAAATGTACCATTCTTGGGTAATTTTACATCTCCAACCACAAGAAAAGGTTGCACAATGCCATGGCTTTTCAGAACTTGTTTTGAATGGAAACAATTTAGATCTTCCTGCTGCTGTAGTTTCCTAATGTCATTTATTCCAGGTGAGTATGTCATTGCTCACGACAATGAATCATCCATTGTGCTACTGCGAATCCTGGTTTTCAATGACTCTCTCAAAGGTTATTTGGATATTTTGCATCGCTGATGATGACCACAAATCCAAGGCTTACCCAGAGCATGCAGGAAAATGAGAAGGATAATTCTCAAGAATCCCGAGCTTAATCCCTACGGTACTCTACTTGGTCATGTAGAATTTACCAGCTGGGATTATATAGCATAAACATAAAAGAACAAATCTTCCAGGCATATCTTCTCTTGAACTCTTCAAACTGTAATCTTTGTGTATATACAAAGATTTATAGTGAAAGAGTAATGTGATCTCTGCAACAACTGACCACGCTTTTGCCTGGCCCATATTGCCACCACTGGGAAGAAAGGCAAGGACCCCTGGGAAGAGTGAGAAGAGTAGTCCTGCTCATGCAATGAGAGATCATTCTTCAATTACACAATTAGGACCAGCCCAAGAGGCACATCAGCACCCATCAACTGGGGGCAATGATCCAATGGTACCATAGAGCAACAGTTTCAAAATCCATACAAGAGATGTAAATAGCTCTGATCCTCCATGTGGTACAGAGCCTGCAAAAGGGATGGAGTAGCTGCTTGGGTACCAGCAATCGAGGCTCTACAGGGTAGGAGCATGTGCTGCTGCCCTGTCACCCATAGCCGCTATAAACCAGAATGAACACGGCCAGAACACAGGAAGTGAAAGGCTCCACACATGTGGCTTGAGCTGAAGGGTCAGGGGTGAGTGATCATTGGTGGCCCAGAGTCCCAAATTCATCCTGTGTCCAGGGTCTGTTTGAGTTACCCAAAATCAGTATGTTAGCACAGGTGGCTCATCTTACTTGATCCAACAAAGAAATCTCATATCAGCCAGGGGAACAATCCAGCTTCTGGGTCACCCTCCTGGAACCAGGGCCTTGTCTTGAGGCCCCAGTATGATTCCACAGTTGCAAGTCTCCAAACTTTTTCAAGGCATTTGTTTGACCCCACATATGGGTTTGGGAGACAATGCTCCATAGAGAAGAAATGGGGCCTGGGCCCACACAGATCCTAACTCAAGGTCAGGGCACCCCACCCAGATGGCAATGCTGACCTCAGCCAGTCCCAGACAACACAAAGGATTTTTTATGTGGAATGTACTTCAAAGTGTAGGTAAACCCTAAGGACCCAGGGAAATGGTCCTACCTGCTTAGGCCTAAAGACTGTACTGGCCCTAGCAATAAATGCATGGCCATTCAAGGAATGCAATTTAAGGAGTTGTATAAGATTCCACATATCAACATACCAGGCAATGCACCTGGAACTGAAACCTACACTGATGCCATTATACTTTGTATTATAGTGCTGCTTTCATAAGGATTCTGTTAAAATGCTTACGTACTCTCAATGGGCAGTACGCCCAGCAATATCACCACCAAGTCCACATGGGCTAATGCATGTACCTTGGAAGTATAGAGAGCTACCTTGAGATAGAATAATTGGTGAGAAGGCCAGGGGCATGGTGGTTAGGGTGAATGGATTCCACATGGCCCACTAGTGGTTCCAGACCTGTTGACTTGAAAAACACAAGGGGCATGTATGTGTACATGCCCAAAATCCTAAAAGGAGAACAGAGGAAAAGGGATTTCAGCATGGCCATCCCCCTCACCCCCAGAGGTGATTTCTCATTCTCTCTCTCTCTCTCTCTTTCTCTCTCTCTCTCTCTCTCCAGTGAGCACATGTGCCCTATAGCAAAAACTAAACATATAAATAAATAGTTGGTGAGAGTTTTATGAAGAAGGCAAAATTTGAGTCATATTAAATGTATCTGTCCCTGGGAGGTGAAGTATCTACAAAACCTTGTCACCATGTAATATCAGCTATAGAGGCTCTGTTTTTGTGTTTTCCTTTTTGAGCCAATGAGGATCCTGTAGAGGATTTTATAAATTGCTTTCTTGAGCTAGTCTCCTCCACTCAGATGAAAGCCTCACCACCCACACTTGTCCAAAGTGGAGCCAGCTGAAGGAGGTAGAATTCTTTTTTTTTTTTTTTTTTTTTTTTTTTGGGGGTTTCACTATCAGGCGGGTGCTTCGTTTCACTATAGGGCGCGTGCTCTCGCCAGACAGACAGAGAGAGACATAGAGACAGAAAGTGAGAAATCACCCCCCAGGGGGGATGGTCACGCCGCAATCCCTTCTCCTCCATTTTCCTCTTAGGATCTTGGGCACGCACGCACACGCGCCCGGCGCGAGTTCTAAGCCACCGGGTCCAGGACACCAACCGCAGTCGACTACGTGGGAATCCAGCGACATAGCCATTACGCTAACTGCTGGTTAGAATTCTTACCAACAGTGAGGAAACCCTTAGGGAGAGAAGCTGGTATGAACCAGTGGGATGTAGCCCACATCTGCAAGTAGGACAAGAATCCTTTGGAAAACTTGTGAAATAAATTTTATGAAAAAAAAAATGTGGATTTCAAAAAAATATTTGCACTGTAATAAACTCAAGTTTCATTCCAGTTTTCCATGAACTTTTTGAAGTACCCCATGTAGACTTCAATCCCTGGCTAATTACATCCCCTTCAGAGTTCATCCCATACAATGAATCTTTGGCTGTTAAGATGAAGTCAGACGTGGAACCCTTTTACACTCCATTGCAAATCCCAGTGCCCTTGGTTTGCCTACCAGACAAATTCCTAATGTGGCTGATTTTTCTCTGGCAACTGCTCTTCTTTCCTCTCTTCCTGTCCACTTCCCATTTTCTCCCTTGCCATAGATCATCTTGCCCATGTTTCCCCAGAGTAGGATTCCTCATCAGGAATAATAGGAATCTGCTAGGACTGGTTCATTACCTCTGGCCATTACTCCACCCACCTCTACAATGTCAGCACACCCCACAGAAGCAGACCACTTCCCGTCCAACAGCATCGCTCCTGAGAGATCATTGCCAAGAAAGGTGAGTCAGAGGCATAAGAGACTCGTTGGGTCAGGAGAGTCTGGGAAGACATTAGAGTCTATATAACCTGGAGAACAGGGAGGATAAAAGAATTCATAAAAGCCAGGTCAGCGTAGTCCACATCTTTCCTGACTCTTGGGTCTGTGACACAGAGGAGGGCAAAGCAGAGAAAAACCCTGAAGGGAGGAAATATCTAAATCAAGCCACACAGTTGAGCCCTTACACTCATTTTTCTCAGAGTCTCCTCTGCCCCCATGCGTGTCTAATTACACTAATTCTTTTTTCAAAGAATTATTTTATTTAACTTTATTTATGTATTTATTTATTTAAATTTGATCAGAGAGAGACAGAGTGAAAGAGATAGGGGACACATGAAAGCAAGCCGCGAGGTCTAGGACTTGACTTGTGGTCAGCCATGTGGGAGTCCAACGCCCTTAACCACCACGTTACCTGCTGGCTCCTACACCATCTCTTGATATATATGAATTTAGAGAAAATAAGCTGAGAGCATCCCCTTTCATTTTCTATTTAACCTCAAAGCTTTTGCCCTACTTGAGTAAATCCAGTACCTCCTCTGTTGAAATTATTCTTTTCCACCAATGTCCTTCGTCTCCAGAGCAAGAAAGGGCAAGTGATGCTGAGTGAGAATAAGACTCCTTGTCGCCCATTCATTCACTCCACATCTATAAAGTACTTTAATTGAGCACTATTCTGCTTTCTGGGCCTAATTTGGAAAAATAACTCTTTCTCACTTCTGTGACCTATCCTTCCTCCAACCTCCCATGCCAGATTCTGCTTACTTTGCATTGCTTAAGTGACCAGGATTGGCTGACTATATTTCTATAAAGATTCAGAGAATGAGAAGAGAGGGCTCAAAAGAAAAAGGAAAGGAAAGAAGGTAAAAAGGAAAATAAACTAGGAAAAAGAGGGGGGAAAGAAGCAAAGCAAAGAGGCAGATAAAGTAAGAGAAAAGGGTAGAAAGGGGTCAAACAAAAAGTACTGGCCTAGCCTCCATGTTGCAGGCTGTACTATGCTGCTCTGCAGGGGTAGAAGGCACCTGGCCGACCATGGGTCCAGATACCAAGCTGACCTGAAGCATGCTGAGTACATGAGCCCACGGTCCTCACTAGCTGGAGGGCTGGGGAAAGGGATCAAGGTGTAAAGAAACCATGTTGAGAGCACCCATCTCTCCCCCTCTGTCTCTCTCTTTCTGTGTCTCACTCTCATGAAAGAAATAAACTTAAAAAAAAAAGTTCTGTCCTTGCCCCTGTACATGTTCTTTCTTGGTCTACACCATCATATCACATTAGCAGCAGACCCTTCAACCCAGGCTTAGAAAATGAAACCTGACCCATCTGGTTCTCCAGCTAGTCATAGATAAAATCACTTTACTTCTATCCATGAGGCAGAAGAGTGCAGTTGTGCTTGCTGCAGGGCTTCGAGGAGGGTAGGTTACGGTGAAGGATGCATTAATCTCTTGAAGTCACATTTAAAAAGATAAAGTTTGCCCAAGAGACAAACTGGACCAGGACCATGGTAGGGACTAGAGCAGCTCTTTGCTTATCCCTTTGCAGGCAGGGGATGGGAGAGGAGAGAGAGAACCCAGAGAAACTAGGCATTATTATCCTATCCTAACATCTGTAATCCCAGGAGCAAAGTGCAAATAAGATGACTTCTAGGGCAAAGAATTATATTTTCAGGAGAGAATAATTAAGAATAATCTGTCTTCTTTTCAGAACCTTTTCTGTAGAATACTTGAGAGGAAGAGAGTGACATAAGAAAAAGGATGTACAAAAGGAAGAGAGAGAAAAAAGATGAAGAGATAGACTAGGATGAGTTGCTTCATAGGCAGGTGTAAACTGGAGTTTCTAGTCATTACAGGTTATAACAATGAACTTTTTCATAATGAAAGTTAGATAATTGCAGTTAGGAGTGACTTGGTCTGATGTGGACAACTTGCAGAATGTCAAATCAAAAGGACGAGGGCTTTTGTGACATTTGCCCCCCTTAAGCTCACAGGCAATGACTGAAGTGTTACAGACAGCTTTGACCATGTCGGGGTCTTCGTGGATGAAAGTGTAATGAGTTAAGCAACTGCCACTGGGGCTGTGCTCCTTCGTCTTGTGCTTCATCATGACATTGCATTCCCTGGGCGTAGGGTCGGACCTGAGATAGTCTCTGTTCCTCTGAAAGAAGGTCTCAGCTGGGAGCCTCTTGTCTCCTCCAACTTCATCTTCATTGAAGGTGGTCTCTTTCGACCAGGTAGGTTGCACCACTCCTTGAATGCTAAGCACCAGGATTTCTGTGGCTTCAGTGACCCCTCCCTCCTCAGTCTCAGCTCTGTCCTGTGAGTCACTGGACCAAAACTCATTCAGTGGCTGATCACTATCTTCCAGGACCGCAGCAGCCATGTGAAGCCCCAGGCCCAGGCCCACCCCCAGGCCCAGCAGCAACAGCAACAGTGAGAAAAAGATTTGCACCAAAGTCAGCTTCATTTTGCCTGAAGGAGAGGAGAGAAATGGAAGGATGTGACTTTAAGATGAAAATACCCAGCAGAAACAGTAGTCTCCTCAGATCCTGCAGCACTGACGTTGAGGAGTCATCTCTCCTTATCCACATTACTCTACCCTCAAGGCAGAGATCTTTTTTCTTTTTTCCCCATTCTCCTGTCTCTCCCTATGAGAGTCTCAATTGTTTCATAATGAGATGTGCATCCTGAAGAGTGGGAAGATGACCAAGAGAAGCAGTTTTGAAATTGATTTACGTTTGGGAAATCAGTGAGGAAAGTTGACACCAATTAATTCTTTTATTTTTTTAAAAGAATTATTTATTTATTTAATTCCATTTGTTATTATTTTTTAATTTGACCAGAGAAAGACAGAGGGAAAGGGAAAAGGAGAAAGCAAGTCACCAGGTCCAGGACTTGAACAGTGGTTGGCCATGTGAGAATACAGAGCCTTTAATCATACATCACCTGCCAGCCCCATATACCAATTGATTTTTTTTTCTTTTTTAAAAATTATTTATGGAATTTTATTTATTTATTTATTTATTTATTTATATTTGACCAGACAGAGAGGGAAAGTGAGAAAGCAAGCCACCAGTTCCAGGGATTCGAACCATGGTCAGCCATGTGAGAGTCTAGCATGTTAATCTCTATGCCACCTGCTGGCCCCAATATCAATTGATTCTCTTTTTTTCACCAATTGATTCTCTCTCTCTTTTTAAAAGAATTATGTTGCTTAATTTTATTAATTTACTTATTTTTTAATTTGACCAGAGAGGGACAGAGCAAAAGAGAGGGAAAGTGAGAAAGCAAGCCACCAGGTTTGAGACTCAAACCATGGTCGGCCACCTGCCAGCCCTCCCACCAAATGATTCTCTCTATTTTTTTTTTAGAATTATTTATTTAACTTTATTATTCATTTATTTATTTTTAATTTGACCAGAGAGAGAGAGAGAGAAGATGAGAAAGCAAGCCACCAGGTCCGGGACTTGAACCATGGCCGGCCACGTGGGAGTGTCCAGCACCTTAAACACCATGCCACCTACCGGTCCCCCCACCAATTGATTCTTTTTTTTGTTTTTTGTTTTTTTTGAGAGGTTTTTGCTATAGGGTGCGTGCACTTGCCAGAAAGACAGAGAGAGACAGAGAGACAGAGAGACAGAAAGCGAGAAATCACCCCCAGGGGGGATGGCCACGCCGCAATCCCTTCTCCTCCATTCTCCTCTCAGGATCTTGAGCACGCATGCACAGGCGCCCGGTGTGAGTTTTAAGCCACCCGGTCCGGGGCGCGAACCGCAGTCGACTACGTGGGAGTCCAGCGACATAGCCATTACGCTAACTGCTGGCCCCACCAATTGATTCTTAAGCAGAAATTTTAGTTGCAAATAACCAAGGAGGATGGTTGAAAATATGAAAGTATATGGTGTCACACTTTCCTTTAGAGAACTTTTTGCAGAAAGGCTTGTTCTCATCAAAGGACTAGAAATATCACAGAGGACCAGCTCTCTATTTTTTTTTTAATAATTATTTATTTTATTTATTATTATCCATATTCTTCAGTTTGCTACAGGGCACATGCAAGAGAGAGAGAAAGTGAGAAAGCAGGCTGCCAGGTCCAGGGCTTGAACTGTGGTCAGCTGTGTGGGAGTCTGGGGTCTCAACCACCATACCATCTGCTGCTCCCAGCTCTCTATTTTTAATCCCAAATTTCCTTTTTTTCATTCAAGTATCTATTACACTCCTTGCTGGCCACTTTCCCCTCTAAAGATTAAAAAAGAACAGAAAAAGTACTGTCGTCTCTCTAACTCCTAAACTGAGGCCCCTGCTCAGGCTCAGGCCAGATTCCTTCTACAAGAGACTTCTTAGCACCTGGGTATTCCTGTTGATTAGGTTTATACTCCCAAGGAATAAGTGGAATAAAAATAAAACCAGAAAAAAAAAATTGATCTGCTAGGGTTCCCCTCCTAAAAAAGGTCCTAATGAGCATGCATCCATGTCTGTTAGGCCAGTCTCAATCCCCTACCAGAGACCTTTCCCACCAAGGGAAAACAAATAGGCAATAAAGAACATTATGGATATAATTGATAAAATTAGAAAGTAGTCTGTAGAGTAGGGATCGCAGATGGCATAATGGTTACGTTGCTAGATTCCCATGTAGTTGACCATGGTTCAAAGGTTCAAAGCCTGGACCCAGCAGCTTGAGGCTCACGCTGGATGCATGCATGAACAAAATCCCAAGAGGAGAATAGAGGAGAAAGGATTGCAGCATGGCATCCCCACTGGGGGATGATTTCTCGCTTTCTGTCTCTCTGGCAAGAGCACGCACATGCCTTACAGCAAAAATCTCTTTAAAAAAAGAACGTAGTCTATAGTGTAGATAAGAGTATTATATTGGGACCAGCAGTTAGCGTAATGGCTATGTCGCAGAACTCCCATGTGGTCGACCGCGGTTCGGGTCCCGAACCTTGTGGTTTAAACTCGTATCGGGTGCATGTGCGTGCGTGCCCAAGATCCCGAAAGGAGAATGGAGGAGAAGGGATTGTGTCATGGCCACCCTCCTGGGGGGTAATGTCTCACTTTCTATCTCTCTGTCTCTCTCTGTCTTTCTGGAGAATGCACGCACCCTATAGCAAAACCCACTCCAAAAAAAAGAAAAAGAGTATTATATTAATGTTTGATATGTTAAATTTTAAAATTATACTCTGGGCCAGCTGGTGGCATGGTGGCTAATGCCTCATGTGGATCCTACATGACCAACAGCTCTGTTCAAGTCCTAGATCTGGCACCTTAAAAAAACACACTGGGCGCATGTGTGTGTGTGTGTGTGTGTGTGTGTGTGTGCCCATAATCCCAGCAGGAGAATAGAAGAGAAGGAATTGTGGTATGGTCATCCTCCATGTGGAAGGGGAGCACTTTTTCACTTTCTCTCTCTCTGTCTTTCTCTGGTGAGCACATGTACCTTGGGGCAAAAATTTTTAAATAAATACATTTTTAAAGTAAAAATTATACTCTGATCATCAGAGAATATCTTTATTCTTAGGAAATACATACTGAAAGCACAAAGTATGCAACCTACTCTTACAGTTCAGAATACAGACATCTCTGCATCTGCATATGTGTGTTTTTACAGAGAAAGAAAGAAAATGATAGAATGAATGTGGAGAAAAATTTAAATAATGTATCTGGATAAAGGGTATTCAGGAGTTCCTTGTATTATTTTATTTTATTTACTCATTCATTTATTTTAATTTGACCAGAAAGAAACACAAAGAGCGAGGGAGAGGGAAAGTGAGAAAGCAAGCCACCAGGTCCGGGACTCGAACCATGGTCAGCCATGTGGGAGTGTCCACTACCTTAACCACCATGCCACTTGCTGGTCCCCCAGTTCCTTGTATTATTATTTCAACTTTTCTGCAAAATTTAAAATACCTGAAATAATAAAATATTGAAAATAAAAATAACGAGGACTTCTCATGTTGTTCCTTGGGACACCCAACAGAACTATGACTTACCTATACACCTAAGTACCTTCCAAGGCTCTGGTGTCCTCCCTTTCCCCAAGTTCTGGCCCAGGGTTTCCTTCTCTGTGAGCAGAGCCCTAGATGTTGGTCTGGAGAAAAATGGTTATTTCTTAGTGGTCCACATGCTCTTAAACACAGACTTTCTCAGCCCACACGCCTCTTACTGCCCCCACACAGTACTGATAAACACTCAGCCATTTCTCCTTTCTGCTCCCACAAACACTTTGAAGTAAGGCTATTAGAGCATTGAGACAGATCCAGACATTCAAGACAGGAAATGTCTGCAGCCTGGGAAACTGCAGACAGTTTTGTTTCAATTGTTCCACCCCCAAGTCCCACCGGCCCCCCTTCCTGTGGTTTGTAGCACCGTGACCTTGTGCATAAATTTCAAATCTAGTCATTTATTAGATTGTCCACATGCATTTCCTTTAACCCTTCGTTGTCATTTCTGGAATGTCCAGATCTTTGTCCTCTCTTTGGATCTTCGCTCTAACAAGATTATTTTGCTTTTCACATTTACATCTGTATTGTGGCTTCACTTGAAGATTTGGAGTATTTGAGTCAATCATCAATTTTCATATATCTTTAACTCTAACCCTAACCCTAACACTACCCTACAACTTTTCCCCTCTCCAGTCTCTCCGCAACCCCAGCCAGTAACCACATTCCCATCAGAATATACAGATTTCGCAAATCTAATTGTTTAGCCCTAGATAAGAGATTATACAAGAACTATCAATTTGAGTCTCTACAGCCTGGGTGAATAAAACCAGAAGAGCCACATGTTGATTCTAAGTTCACTTCTTTAGCTAAATGAAAATCATGAGACAATGTATTTTTTCCCTCCTAAGCATTTTATTGAGATACAAGGATAAACAGGTTAACAAAGTGGGAGAGAGAAGATGACAAGATGAAGGTGCTAATACAGGGATAGGAAGGTAAAGTCAAAGGAGCAGGTAGGACCGAACTGGCCATAAAGGCACTGCAGTCAGTCAACAAACTGAAAGGTGTTCATCGTTTCTCTTTTGCTCTAAATCAGCTTCATTATCCTGTCTAGCCACAGATGGACATGTGGCATGCTGTCCCCTGGGCCGGCTCACAAGTCAGCCAGGACATCCTAGTCACGACGATGTTCTCAAGTGGGTCAATGTCATACAGTGGTCTAGTGCACCCAATACTATAAGCCTATGGGCATAGAATAGGGCTATATTTTTAATAAGCTGGTCCTTTCCTTGACTAAAAAAACTCTTACAGGTGTAGGCATTTACTTACACAATTACCCACTTACAGTAGAATAGGGCTATATTTTTAATAAGCCGGTCCTTTCTTTGACTAGAAAACTCTTACAGGTGTAGGCGTTTACTTATACAATTATCCACTTACAGAGGCAGCTAACAAGTCGAACTTGGATTCTGTGGTGTCACTCTGCCATGTGATGTTATATCAGCAACAGCGAGTTCAGCTCAACAATGTCACCTTTTTTCTGAAAGCCAAATTTCCCATTACAATACTCCCATCCCTTTTAAAAGGCTGTGGTTTAAACAACTTTCATGTTCTGTCCCTGAAAATAAAAGAACTTTGGTCAAAGCCAATTCTCAAAAAATCACCTCTTCTACTCTTTGAAATTCGTTTATGTGGAAAAACATCACCCCATTTCTTATAAACATCTAAATTAAAGTATTAAAGATGGTAATGGAAGAAGCATTCACCTTTCAGGGCATATATTTCTAAAATTAGGTTTCACATTTTTCGTAGGAAGCGTGAGATTTTCTTAGAAGCAAGGTTTCTTCTAAATTACCAAGTACTCCCAGGTACTTTGATACCTAGCTCTTTAAGTCAGCTTCACTAAGTAGGAATCCTCAGTTTGAATCTACAAACCATCCCCAGAAGATCACGCTTTCTAGTCGCGCTGTGGCAAGGTAAGCAGCCTTAACTACCCACCATGCCCATCGATCACAACTCAAAACTCTCAGTGACCCACACAGTGAAAGTTCCTACAAAGGTACTAAAGCTGAGCAAATCAATCTACATCATCCTTTCAGTTTGAGGTTAATAAGCACCTTTTGATGAAATTACTTTTTTTTTTTGAGAGTTTTTTTGCTATAAGGTGCGTGCGCTTGCCAGACAGAAAGAGACAGGGAGACAGAAAGCGAGAAAGCACACCTCAGAGGGGATGGCCACGCCACAGTCCCTTCTCCTCCATTCTCCTCTCGGGATCTTGGGCACGCACGCACATGCAGCCGGTGTCAGTTTTAAGCCACCGGGTTAGGGATGCGAATCGCGATCAACTACATGGGAGTCCAGTGACATAGCCATTACGCTAACTACTGGTCCCATGAAATTACTTTATTTAAAAGTATCTGAACAGGGGCTGGCAGGTGGCATAGTGAAGGCATTATACTCCCACATGGGTGACCATAGTTCAAGTCCTGGACCTGGCAGCTTGAATTCTCTCTTTCTCTCTCTCCCCATCTGGTCAAATTGAAGAAGAATAATTAAAAGATACATTTAAATAAATAATTCTTTTAAAAAAGTATCTGAACAAAGGGGTAGAAAGTAATTCACTTCTCAAATCACAATTTCAACAAATCAGACCTATGAGTAGATGTTAACTCAGGAACTCCAACAAATTTGCAGTACAATTTGGTTTCCACAGTATTCATTACATTTCATAATAAAGTGCAAAAAGTTTTGAGTTTATCCATTTAATTATTTTTTTTCCCTTTTTTGGAGAGGTTTTTGCTATAGGGTGCGTGCACTCGCCAGAAAGACAGAGAGACAGAAAGCGAGAAATCACCCCCCAGGGAGGATGGCCACACCACAATCCCTTCTCCTCCATTCTCCTCTCGGGATCTTGGGCATGCATGCACATGCGCCCAGCATGAGTTTAAGCCACCAGGTCTGGGATTCGAACTGCAGTCGACTACATGGGAGTCCAGTGACATAGCCATTACTGCTGGTCCCCCATTTAATTATTTTTCAAACCAACCACACAAAGTATAAAATTCACAAGGATGCGCTAACCAATTATCACATAATCCTACTAACTACAAAAGGAACTGATTGTGGTGTGAAATTAAATTTTACTTTAATCAGCAACTCACTTTATCAAGTGTTCTATTAAGTGCCTGTTAAAATATAACCACCTTTTAACAGAAGATGTAGTATGTGCCTTTCCACTTTTACACTAAACTTCTGATCAAAGAAAGACTATTTCCCTTTTTACATAACAAGCATTAACGACCATCAAACTATACTCTAACAACATTAATTACATTGACAACTTTCAGGAAGTGGGGCTACTAGCTGAACAAGATCCCTAGTATTAGCCGCGCGCCAGGAACGGCCTGGCCGGCGCCCCTCCACTCCACGGGGGCGCGCCACGCGGCAGGGGGGGCCCCCCGCCCCT